GCCTTCTGGCCCTGGGATAGCCCCTCTACCCCAAGGCAGCTGGAAGGGGCTCCCCACTCCTGTAGGAGCGGCTTCCTCCGGGACCTTAGCCCTATCGAGTCTGAGAGACCGAGTCTGGTGAGATCTGGGGCTCTTCCGGCCACCGGGAAGGAGCCCATGCCCTGTGCGTGCTGCAGGGAAGGGTGTTCTGCCAACTCTGCTTCAACAGAGGTAGCCTGAATCCTTCTGCTTGTGTCATCTGCTTTGTGCTACCCTTTCATCTGGCCAGAAGTGCCCCTGCCACATCAGAATCTGTGCCTCTCCCCAGAAAAATCTGAGAAAGCCCCATACTTTCCCTAAAGCTGTGACTTGAGTCTGATTCAACTTGTACGGGCTGCCCAAGGAGCTCAGGAACTCATCCTCGACCATCCAGGAAGCTGGGTCTGCACACCGTTTGAAGCTGCTCTGAGTCCTCGATTCCCTTGCTCTGCCAAACCCTGCGTGCAAATCTGAGGGTCTGATCCCGCAGCTCCCCGCTCTCCTGCCGTAGCCACGCCGTGCTCAAGCCTCCAAAGAGGTCTGGCCCTGCAGTGCCGTCCTGTGTTTCTGCAGGGAAGGAGAGGTAGTGATTTTGCTTGCAAAAGAAGCCTTAGCGTGGAAGAAAAGCTGTCGTCCTTTGTTAGCTCTTCCTGGGCTCTGCTGAGAGCAACAGGCCCTTTGTTTGGAGTAAAGCTGGAATCTGCTGAGGCACAAAGGAGGAAGGGGAATGGAGGTCCTGCGGCTTGTGAAGCCAGTGCACGGGCTTTGGTCAGACTGGGACCGCTGCCAGGGCTGGGACCGGGCAGCCCCAGGGCTCCGGGATGCCCCTGAGCTGTGGCAGTGGGAAAGTCTGTCCGAGTGGCGTTGGAGCCCCAGAAATCTCGCTGTTTGCCCAAGATCAGGTGTGGGCAGCCCGGCAGGGAGCCTGGCAGCAGGGAGCCGCCTGCCCATCCTCTGGGAGCGTCCTGAGCAGAGGACTGGGAGACCCACGGTACCCCCGCCCCAGAGCAGCACCTGCGGCGGAGGGGCCGTGCGTCAGAGGAGCAGCAGCAAACCCGATGTGGGAGCCTCGGGACAGGCAGGCGCTGCAGGGCAGGTATTCGCCGTCTCATCTCTTCTGGGAAACGTACTGGCACAGGAAGTCTTGGGCTGAGATTCCTGCCTGCGGAGGTACTGAGTAAGCAAGAGGAAGGAACAAGGATGATGGAGTTGTGTGAGCCTGCAGCAGG